CATATGCACATTGGGAAAACCAACCATGCAGCTAGCCCATTCGAGTGAGTTCAAACTCTGGTTGAATTACCAGTGTCTCACAACTCGCAACTCGTAATCTCACAACCAGTGGCGGAGACCTAAATCTAATGTATATTAACAGTATTTTCCTATCATGGAAACGGCTCGCAGTTTGGTAAAATTGAGGAACGCTGAAAGTTAAACCAAATTTCAAATCCCAGTAAATGGATTGGTTGAATGGAAGTTTTTGCGGTTTTTCTCATGTGTAGTATGGAAGCCAAGAACTTTAATAAAAAGCCCTCTTCTTAGGCAAATGCTCCTCAGTCCTTTGTTATAATCTAAGTAATGCAATCCTAACTTGTAAGTACAATTATGATCCAAAGAGCTACATTCAATAATTAAAAAAACTTAAATTGAAGTAATTCGTTTATAGACCATACCAATTATGTTAAATACCAAAGTACAGTATAATTTTTTAAAACATGAGTGATCATACTTCTGTTCAAAGTTTATAATGCAACAGTTATATGAAATACAGCAAAAGTTGCAAAGCAGTACATGAATCTTCCCAAGTTTATACTCGCAACAGGTTCATTCACATAACTGTAGATATTTAGTTGCTAGTAATGAATTAATTATGAAGATTCCTTATGAAATACAGAAGTATTTATGGACAAGATAATTCATGCATAGTGCAATAAATTTTTAAGCGACTGATTGCTTGTGTTATTCAAATTGTTTTGTTATATTGTTTTACATAAACGGGCCAAGATTATATCACAAAAATGGGTATAATACCTATATGGCAGACACAAAATTTGAAAAGATTTTTTATGTGCTGAAATACACTTTTTTTGCAGAATTTGTTGTAGTTATTTAACTATGAATCTTTGAAACCTAAGCCCTATTTTGGCATCACTGATGCAGAAGTACATGACATATCAAGCATCTTACAAAGTATGCCAGTCATTTCATTGTTTCAAAGCACTGGCATTGTGATGCATGTATTGCTGTCGGTGATAGTTTATTTGAACAGTTCTCATAAATATCAAACACTATTTCCTGTAAATGACCATGAATAAAATGACATTTTGTTCTTGCATTCTTTACACTTTCTTTGAATCTTGAAACAGTCATGGATTAATTTTCTGTTTCGTGGCTTTTAAAATAAGTAAGAAAAAAAAGGAAACTGTATTGTTGCTGAAAATTGCCAAAAAGGAAATTACATTACAGATTGGCTAGTTGATGATGGTTATGTCTATTAAGATATACTGTATGTCCTTTTAAAGAACAAACAATATAAAGGGTACCCTAAAATATAGACTAACCCAAATTAAATACAGGAGTTTATCGCTTAATACACATAGTACATTTAATACTGAGTTAAATGAAATCATGTTTACTAAATATAAAAATACATATAAAACACTATAATTCATCCAACTATTTCTCACCATTTCCTTCTACTTCTCTTTAACTACTCACATAAAATTAAGAGAAAATACACCGAAACATGAAAAAAACTTATAATTTTTGTCATAAATGCTGAATTTAATCTATGCTTTTATTTGACAGAAAATTATTTAAATTAGTTGGAACATCTTTTGCCTTCATGATTTTCCTTTTAGTAGCTCAGTGCACTGTGAATGACATGGTGAACTTTAATATTCTTCTCAGCAAATTTGAATCCAAGCCCCTAATCTAAAAAGGAATACATAACTACTGTATTTGACGGCATACAAGACGCACCCTTATTTAGACGGTCACACACAAGGAAAAAAAGTTTCAATAGCGTAGTTTCTTTTAGTTCTCACGTTTCGTAAAAGCCAAATAACCAATTATTGAATGCAATTACCTTCACATATAAGACTGTGTCCTTCACGTATAAGACACAGGTAACTTTTTTGAGACCAAATTTAGGAAAAAAAGTGCGTCTTATATACCATCAAATACGGTAATTAAATGCTTGAGAGAATATGACGGTGAGGTAAGTGCAACTTTAACAGCATTATGGGCCCTTATAATAAACAATCACAGAAATAAAATGCAAATGAATTAACACAGAGGGTCTCGGGCAAGTGCCTGTTGGATCCATGTATTAACTTCCTTTCCCAAATCCCTGGAATCCTCCTTCCCTAAATCTACAGAAATATATTTGAGTGTCATCATGCTAGTACACCTTTCATTGTGAGTCTAAAACTTATTTGATGACAATAAGGAATAGATCATTGAGATCAAGCCAACAAATAAAAAAGTATGCCCATATTGTTTGACTGCAACTTTTATCCCTAAAAAATATTAACAGTAAACTGCATAAAAATATTATGAACTGCATTAAGAAGGAATTGACTGTAATTACAAATATATGTTAATTTGAAAATGTACTGATCATAATTATGTTTAGTAAAAACAAGTTGTAATTAATATGTATTAATTTGAGAATACTTACCAAACTTTTGGTAAGTAATAGAATTCTGTATTTAAGTATAGATCATACAATTTATCACAATCATGTGTTATTTTATTAATATGTGCACAACAAACCTGCAGTGGTATTTATGCATTAATGCAACCACATTGGCACAATATAGTGATCAACAGATGAAGAAAGTGCAAATCAGTGATTTTCGTGACTTTTTTTTAATATTCCCAGACTATTGATATTTATCATAAACAGGCAAACATTATCAATATACCAAAAGGGAAAACATTTTAAAATACAAATTTTAATTAATAAATGTAGACTGTGTGATATATTAAAAAAATAAAACACTTAACATTTTTCAAACAATTCTTTAAGTTTTTTTAGGGCTGTTCATGTCCCCATGTCCACAGCAATCTCTTGTTTGCTTAAAAAAACCAGAGAATTCCATACCAGCTATTTATCTAACTCATCTTGTTCCTTTTAGCAATTTTGCTGCAAAATATTGTTTTCCTACAGAACTTTTACCGCAGTTTCCTCCACTGCTGGCAAATTCCACAAGTGCAATTTTAAAATTGAGTTGAAGGCAAAAAAATAGCACGATTTGTCTCTTAAAATGTTGGAACTGGGAATACTACAAAAAGATCACATATGAAAATTGCTTGACTGAAAGATTGTTATGGACATGCTTGGCTGAAAGATGCTGATGTGCATGTTTGCCAGATTAGAATATACATTCTAAAAATTCGGCAACTTCTAGCGGTGGCGTTAATATAGTACCAAAATACCTAGTGGTACCAAAATTTCAATGTGAAAATTTCAGATTATGTTCTCCCCTTCAAATGATAGGTGAATAGAAATTTACTTTTAAAAAATGTGATACATAATAAAAAGTTAAAAGTATGTAGGTTCTATGCTAGTTGTGCAATATATGGAGTAAAAAATTAATTTTACTATTTACAACAAACCCCACAAGTACTCATAAAATTATCAGTTTGAAACAACAACATTAAATGTATTTTAATTTATATTAGATATTTTACTATAAAAACTAATTCTAATTTAAGTAATGTGGTCATAGCTCTTAATTAATCAATTTCGTAGTCAAAATGAAACTGATTAAATTTATAGGACAAATTAAAGATTTTTTGTTCGTCAAATGAAATAAATACTGTGAAAACTGGCTATGCAACATGTGGAAAACAAAGATCTCATGTTTTGAGCAATGGCAACAGTTACTAATAGCTGTTTCTAGATTCTTCCCATTTGTCAGTTTCTGAAGAATTATCCTGTAGACAGATTTTATTTTGCTTAGACAGGATTTTATATGTAAAAATAATACAATTCCTTTACAAGATGCTGTTGGAGGGGACACGCAAATTTATGTTTAAAAATTGATATTTATCATCAACAAAATAGTGTTTATATATAAATACGTACATTTCAAATATACGTACATTTCATATTGCACTAAAAAGATTATCGTATAATAAAATTTTGCAACATTTATTCACACATATTTTGAAGAAAGATATTTAGTAAAGGATTCAAAATATTCATTTATAACATAAAATACGTTCGCTATTTTCTTATAGTTTTACAATCTCTTTCTTAGCTTCAAACAATAACTACATGGCATAAAAATGCACGTTACTGAAAGTTCACTTCCTTTAACTCCAGATATTTAAAACACATTTTTACTCTGATATTTTGGTAAAATCTAGTATATAGTATCGCCTTCACACGATTTTGAAAAATTACCAAAATGACTCATTTAATGCTCATCGTAAATGCCACTTTTACAGCTCCTAATCATATCGCCAAATTCCATGTGTACCTTATACTAGGATTAAACCAGTATTTTTTATTTGAAATAAATGGGGATTTGATGAAATTATTTGGCTAATTTTTGGAATATGGTAACAGGTAGTTTGGCGACATTTTAGTAAGGCGATAAAGGTTACTAGCTAGGACTTTGTCGATAAAGTCAAGAGTGTGTGCAATGCCATTTTTGTGCAATTCTGGGATGTTTTTTTAAGTGAAAATAGGTCGACGTTTACATGGATGATACCGTGTATGTGCAATTCTTAAAAACGCGGGAAGCAGTGGGCGATTCTGCACTTTCTCCCAATTTCGCAGCTAATCTTCGTCATGATTAAGCACTTTTGTTCCATAAAAGTTCTAGCATAAGCATCATTCGGCTAGCAGATTGTTGGAAAAAAATTTTCAGTAAAAACAAAAACATGCCTTTACTTCGTGAAAACAAAATGGCATCCAAATAAAAAACTAGCAGGTTGCTGTAGCAGGGTTGGTCGCCAAAAAATCACCAAGTTACCATAATCCAAAGATTAACCCAGATAACTTTCGAGTGCTTTGCCACAATTAAATAAATCAAACCAACCATCAATTTTTAAATCATTTCTCAGAATCTAGCAGTCAAAAAGCATGAAATTCTCACTATCAAAAATACAGATAGATCAGTTACTAACAAGAAAAAAGTTACCAAGAAATAAAATAATAATATAGTTCACATTTAAACATCAATATTTAAAAGCACTTTTTGAAGTAAACAAAGAAAAAAATTGGAAATTTGCAATTTAATAATCTGATTTAACATCTGATCTGTACAAATGATATACAATAATTCACTTCTGGAGTACTTTAAATATAACAATTGCCCTATTCTGATTTATTTATATTTATAAAATGAAAAAATACTTAACAGATGTGGCCTTAGCAAACATAATTTTTCAAAGTACTTAGCAATCAGCTAAAATCTATCATATGCACTCAATACAAATTATTTTACATAATATTTTACCTCATTGTTAAATACAATACTTATGTCTACATGTCTGCATAAAATGGATTAAGACTGTCAACACTTTTAGCAGCAGGACGAGCTGAATCGGTAACAATTGTGACTTTATTGAATACACCTCGTCCAAAATAATCAGCAACTACTGAAAATCCATCATCAGCTCTTTCCAACTGATGATGAAACTGCTCATGAAGGTCTTTATTTTGCTCTTGAGCTCTTATAATCCCTAGCACTTTCTGGTTTTCAGTTAAACATAATGGGCATTCTGAATCATGCTCAGCACTGTAACTCTCAAAACACTGCTGATGATAGGAATGCCCACAAAGAAAATGTACAGAAGGTAGTTCTAACTGATGGGTACAGCCACTACATTTGGAAACTTGAAATATTTTAGCATTAGTCCTCAGTTCTTCCATTTGATTTCTCATTTTTTCAGTTTCTTCTCTGTACTGTTTAATTAAACGCTCATCTTCTGAAATTTGATCATTTTCTTTTTGTAAATATCTTATTATGTAGTCTTTAATTAAATCTAAAGTAGCAGTGTGACTCTTTGCCATTATATCTACTACTAAGATAGGTGATAGCAAATTATTTTTCTCAACTTCATTCAGAATGGTAAGTATGTAGGGCTTCTGATTTCTTTCCTGCTGACAGAAAAACCACAGGGCTTGAACCCAGAGGTTTGGATCATTACTTCCAAATCGCTCACAGGTCTTCATTATAGCATCATTGTCCCTATTTTCTATATGATAAAAAATAATCTGCTGATACAGTTTTGCTTTTTCATATAAATGCAAGATACCAGATTTGAAATCACTCATCTGACATAAAACAAGAGCTTGGTTGATATTGTAACTTGCTTCAGAATTTCGCAACATATCCATTATTTTTAATTCAATTTTCTTTTTAGCTACAGGATTAGTTTCTTTGCCATACGTTTTAAGACATAATTCAAGATATGTGTTATACACAAGACTAGATGATGTGGGACGGATTTTTATCATATGTTCAAGAAATTCCAATAACCTTTCCGAATTGTTTACAAAAATATGTATGAATTCTTCCGGATTTGAAGAACAACATTTTTCAGAAATTGACTCACTGGAGCTGTAATCTGTACACAAGCGTTTTAGCAATTGTGTTGTTTGCTCTGGTACTTCTGTCATAAGTACTTTACCATATGCTTTCATATTTCCCTCAGCTGCTTCAAAATCTAATTTTGCTATATACTTTAATGCTTTATCGTAATCTTTCAGATCTTCGAGAAGAATTTTTAAATACCATTCATGTTGGTCATGATGTTCAGCTAAATACAAAGCATGTTTATAATAACCTGCTTGCCGGCAAACTTTCATAGCTGTTTCGACATCAAAATGAATTTCATGGTCTTTGGTCATGATAAATTCATCAAGTTTTGATATGTCCTTCAACTTTGTGTAACAGTTGAGTAATAATGTTGTATGATCTTCAGTTGCTAAATCTTTTTTATGAAGAGCTTGTAAATAAGCTGTTAAATTGTGAATTCTCTGTGCATCAAGAAATTTTCGAATAACATATGAGGCTTCCAGCTTTCCAATGGTTTTGATGTATTGTGCTATAGCTCCATCATGATCCCCCTTAGTGTACAAATGATCTCCATACTGCCGAAATATATCTATCAGACCATCTTCATCATACTGTTGACTTTTAGCCAAACTTATAGCAAGTGCATACTGATTTTTCTTAAATAGCATGTCAAGCTTAGTTTGAGTGTCCTTCTCTTGTAAATTAAATAGCTTTCCATCTTGGGAAAGAACATATAATGATCCCCATTCAGATATAATGTCTACAACAGCAGGCAGTGGTGCAGAATAAGCAATAAATTTGTTCTGTATATCATACACTGTAACAATATTCATCTCTATTGGAGGTGAAGTTATAGCAGAAGAATGCACAGCTTTAGTATCCTTTCCAACAACAACTAAATAACTTCTAAACCAATGCAATAATATTTTCTCCCCTTCAAATGCTAGGCATGGCCCTCTGCCATCATGCTGATAAAAGTAAACTGCATCATGACGTCCAATTACAAATTGATGATCTTGTTTAGCATCACTGATAACAGAACATTTAGGCGAGCATCCATGAGTATCGAGAAGAATTTTTGTTTCTTTATCTTTCACAGAGAGATTGAAAGAGTATATTTCATTTGTTGTAGCAGCAAACAGAAATACCTGTTTCCCTTGTGTCCTAAATACGAGACCAGTCAAGGCACTTGAACTAACTTTGAATACCTTTTGCTTACTCTGTCTTTCTCTTGTGATGTCTCCTCTAGCAAATAAGATGCTGCTGTCAGCAAATCCAACAGCCAGAAAATTCATATTCTCATGCACTGCAAAAGCCGTAACTGATGATGTAACACTCTGAGGCCTTATAATTCTCATACATAAAGGTTTTCCTAGTCTGTCAGGTTTTTCAACATTCCATACTTTGATCAGAGGATTTATGCCTGGTTCATCTGCACCTACGGAAACTAGAATTGGATTTAATCTTAGTTGCTCGATATGACTAACATTTAGTTCATATGCTTTAAAGGATATTAACTGGAACTGTCGATTTAAAAAGAAAATATTTCCTTCTACATCTCCTAACACTATTTGTCCCCTCCCACTTGTCGTGCAAGTAACATTTATATCTTTCAGTTTTTCAAATACCTGTGAAGATTCAATATCTTTAACAACCTCCTTCTCAAAAAAGTTGAATCGCCTCCACTGTAAAAAAGCCATACTTTAAAAAGCGCTGGTAAAAAACACACAATATTGCTGACAGGCGGATTCCCGTGATTACGAAACCTGTTAACAGTGAAGTGAATAAATTTTTAGTGTCAAATTTATGTGGCTAGTTATTAACTTAATAACTATTAAATTTATGATAAATAAGAGTTTAATAAGTTCTATTAAATTTATGATAAATAAGAGTTTAATAAGTTACTTGCAACGCTTATACTTGTATTAAGAATTTTTTAAATAACTTTTTTTTTTTTTTCTTTGAGAAGTAGTTTTTAGAACAGAAGTGGTGTAACTCGGATAAGAAGAGAGTGTAATCCATTCCGAAAACTAAATAAATAAAAATAAAAATAAAATAATAAATTAAATTTAAAAAATACCTGATATCAATAGATTAATAACTATTTATATTCATACGAAAGCTAGTGATAATTAAAATAATTCTATATTCTGTACTACTACTAAGTACTACTAGGAACATATAGTGAATTTGAGTTTCAGAAAGCAGCGCCTCCTTTTACTCTATATCACGTGATGAACATCAGTAAAACCAAGGAGGTTAGAATAGAAGGAGGGAAGGTTCACCTCAAACGGTGAAGCTTGGCGGCCATGTTACTGTTATCACTGTGACTTATGCAAGGAAGTCTGTAATTGTAACATTCCCCCCCCCTTTTCTTTTTGAAGCATGTCAGCTTATATTGCATATGGATGCACAAATAGATTTTCAAAAAATATTCCTGGGATTACTGTTTACTCGTAAGTATTGATTTTCTTTTTGTGTGGTGTGTGTAATTTCATAATATGTTAAAAAATATCACAATGTCATTTGTTTTCTTTCCAGATGTGAAAAAAAAAGACTTAATAATAATCGAAACATTTAAATACATTTAATGTTTTTGCTTACAGCTGGTATCTTCGTTCCTTAACATACAATGATATGTGCTAATTAAACTGTATGATTTGAACGCTTATGTAAATAGTTTCATAATTTTCATGAAAGTAAGAAATCAATTGTTACTATTTTTATGAATTGTAAAAGTGTTAAATAAAGCAACGCTTTCTTTATGCATTAATTATTATTCATTTTTAAGTTTTTGTGAACTGTTACGAATATAATTTGTGCATTTGATCAAGATAAACTGTTCTGTTGTGAAAATTTTTTTTGCATAAACTTACAAATTTCTGGGCAAGTATTAGCGATAAAAGTAAGTAAAATATTTACACAATTGAACATGTACGGAAAGATGTATCCAAAATTTATATAGGTACATTTCATGTTAATTCAGCTTAATTCAGGCAATTTCTTTGAGATTCATAACTATGAAACGCGCATAAACTGAAATCATTCGAATTCACATAAATCTGTTTTATTTTATTAATATTTATTTGCTTCTTGTTATAAGGTTGTTGGTTGTGAAAAGAATCTATTTAAACATTCATTAAAAAAAACAACATGTTACCATTTTTTTTAGATAATATCTGCTATTAATTTCAGATAAAATTATTCTAAGTGATTCTTTAATAATTGCAATAATATTGCGAATAATCGAAATATCACTTCTTAAAGAAACAATTGGAAAGTATACCCAACAAGTTGATAATAAAACCTATACAAATTCTTGAAGTTATGCAGAAACATCATTTAGATTTCGAACTATTTCTTAATGATTTTCTGTACTTAGTAATTACGGATATCATCTTTATACTTTAAAACAAAAACTAACAATAGCGAAGCATTTCATTATAAATTTAAGATATTTTTTTACTGGAAAATCCCTGCATTTAACAGCTGAGAAACACGTACGTTTCACTACCGTATGGCAAATGTTTTGAAGTTACAAACATGGGCGCCGCTTGTTCCGTGGAGTTTCATTCCCCGATAGTGGAGGAAACTGCGAACCCTCCCTCCTTCTATTCTAACCTCCTTGAGTAAAACATATTTCCGAGATGAAAGTAAAGGGATTAGTCTAGACACCGTCGAGATTGAAGAAGGGGTCGTTTTTTGCGATCTACTCGACAGAGAGCGAGTCTGCTGTCATCGTCTCGATCATCATATTAGAAATCGACGCGTCGGAAATTTTTCCGTCAGCTGGACAGCTGCCGTTTAAGTTTCTGACTGTCGTTTTACAGCTAAACTGAGGACGGCAAAGGTCACGGATTGTTTTTGAAAGTGTACGTAATAGATATTTTAATTTTTTAAGATTTTTGAAAAACTCGAGTACTTCGCTATAGAAGTAACGCATTTCATGCTGACGATTCTACATTATTTATTTATTCTACATTATCAATGCCTTATTTAAATTTTAGTGAAAATAATATATTTGGTGTTTTCCTATTTCACATATAAAGAAGGGGTGCATACTTTTAATTTAAAATTGTAATTTTTAAACTAATGTATATATCAATGCACTTAATTTCATGTTTTGATGAGTAATTTTATAAATTTTGAAATTCTATGTTTTAAATTATAATGTATTTCCCTCTACTTTTATTTGAATTTGTAGTGTATAAAATGTATACATTAGACCTGCATTAAAGAATATGCGTATATAATTCAAACTATCACATCCTAAATTCAAGATTTACATTAAATTGCTTTGAGTTAAAAAATTTATTTAAGTAGTTGTAACTGTACCGATATCAATGTCAATTTCCAATAGTTTCTAGAATCTCCTGTATAAAACAAGTTAAATTCCTGTATAATTTTCCGTTAAATTTTTGTCAATATTATAATGCAAGATTTATAATTAGTTATCAGATTTTTAACATGGTCTACTTTTAGATATTACATCAGTTTTGCGTATATTTATTCAGATCTAAAAAGTGCTTAGTTTTGGTTTTATGTAATTACGGAAAAGCCGTGAGGGTTGCCTTCGTGGAGGACATTCTAAGGGAAACTAGCTCGTATACACGTAACACATGGGGAAAACTACTAAAAAGTCCATGCAACCAGCCCGTTCGCGGGATTCCAACCTTGGACGAACTTCTAGTGTTCAGCGATTTTACTGGCCGCTGGTGGGATCGATTAAAAAGGGTATAAATATATATGTACTGCAATTTCTTTCCCTGCATCTGTTAATATATTATACAGTTTTATATATATATATATATATATATATATATATATAACAGATTTTCTGTGCCTTAAACTTCTATGCTTCTGGAAGTTACCAATGATATATCTGTCATTACTAATGATATATTGGTAATAACGCCCATGTGTCCAGTTCGTTCGCAGTGTTCAGACCCCTACCAGTGTTCAGCGATTTTACAACACGGTCACGGCGGGATCGATTTAAAAAGGGTATAAATAGGAATATGTATTGCAATTTCCTTTCACTGCATGTGTTAAAATATATATATATATGTGTGTGTGTGTGTGCAAAATAATATGTTTTATGATTTAACCTATAGTTATTTAATTTTTCTTTCTATTACTTTTGTTAAATGTTTGTTATATTTTTACTCACTGCTTATTGGTATCTACGATATATAGTATATTTGTAGCTACGTGATAGGTATAATTCCTGAATAAATAAAATTATTGATATAATCATGGGTTGCTAAAAATTAAAAATTTTTTTGATTCAAATTCATTATTAATATTAAACACGCGTACGCGGTGCTATGTTTCAATGATTTGACTTATGACGCTGTTGCATAACCTTTTCAAACAAAATAATGTATTTTAATCATAAAATTCCTGTTAACAAATAGTTTACAAACATGTAACCTTTTAGAAAATTTGCATTTTGCAAAAGATCATACGTAAAATTATGTTTACGTTTCTTCACATACCTGAAGTTTAGAAAAGGCAATTTCTTTCTACATTTAAAATATCCATAAACGTTCCGCGTATTTCCAAACCCTACCCCACTTTTCAAATTTTTGACGTCACGGAAATATCGACTAGTTTCACCTGGTAAGACGCCTACCCCACTTTTGACTACTACGGCGCGCTTTCGAAAGAATTGTGCTGCTGAATAGTGTGTTTAGGTGCTAATTGTGAGATTTTCGCAATTTAAATTATTATGAGTGGGAATTTACGCAAAATCTTTAGTGAATGGTTTTGTTTAACGCCGTAGTGTATTTGAGGAAAGAGGAGAATAATTCACTGCTGATGTATACATTAACAGTATGAAAAATCTGGAAGGTGATACTCGGCAATAAATGTGTTACATTTCATCGCAAAATTCAGCGACACCAGTAAAACAAACGAAAATGTTCGAAAAACTTATCCACATCTGAAGCCACTATACAAAAATTGTATGTGTGCCAATACAGCAATTTAAATTTAAAAAAAAAAAAATTGCAGAAAACTTCAGATCAAGGAATAAGAATTGCAGTGCCTCTATGTGCTTAAAAACTACGAAGCATTCTGCAGACTTTCGTGCCAAAGTCAAGTTTGACAAATAGATTAATACGTTTTGTTTCTTTTAGTGTATATATTTCAAAATTATTAAAATAACTTGAACAGTTGTTTAATTGCTTAAAACAGCAAGTTCATTTATAAAGATATACAAGGAACTTCATAATTCATTGCTTTGTTGAACAATTGAAATTTACTAAATTACCTAACTTTATAATATTAAATATCTTTGTAACTGTGTTATTATGCTCTGTTTTATAAAAGCTTAACTACTTCTAAAAGCTAACTACTAACTAAAAGCTTAGCTATTTACCATTCATTTGTTATACATTAAAATATTTTCTGATTTATTTACTAAATGCGTAATCAATTATCAGGATTACTAAATGTATTAAGAATTTCCATACATGCCTGTGCAGTGTGAATGCATGTTTGTGTAATGAACTTTGATTTTCATGAACGAAAAAGAAATACAATCTCCGAATGAGTACTTTTTTGTTTTCCAGTTCCTGTGTTTAGCTGTAAAAGTAAATTCACTTCAAGTATATATGGCTGTGCAAATTGATTTTTGACGATCTAAATGCTGAAATGTATGTATAGTAAAAACTCAACAAAAAAAAAATATCCGGAAAGCTCTTGAAATTTTGGATAGTAGCCGAGCATATAAAAAATGAAATTAAATACTGTAGAAAAGTGAATGTGAATGGAAATAAACTACTAGTCTAAAATCATAAAAACAGTTCGTCTTATTTGTATCAACTTGACTA